CAGCAGTGTACTTCGTTGATCTACCTGTTCTGCTCCCCACTCTGTCTCTGGTGAATCCTCTCACCCTCCGCATCTCTGGTCTGTACCCCAGTTCTGTATGAATAAATAAATAAATCTTTAAAAAAAATGGAGTATGTCTAAGCTTGAAAGTAACCAATATTCATCTAATAAAACAAAAATTGAATGCTTTAAATGAAATTCTCATAGTTTTAAAACATCTTAAAAACAGTGTTGTGCCAGATTTTGAGTTTTCCAAAGGCCACCAAAGAGCCAATTCCAATGCAAAGCGCACGAGGGTCTTTAATGCAAGTTTGAGCCTGGGCTCCCAACATGTACCAATGCAGAGGCCGAAGATGAGAGCCCCGAGCTCAGGGAAGGCAGGGTTTTTATTACAGAAGAGGAGAGTTTCAGCCCAGCAGAGGGGAGTTTTAGCTCAGCAGTACATTGATTGGTGGACATTGAATAAATTTATCTTGTCTTAATCTGGTTGGTCTATGCATGTAAGAGGTGACCTTTGCTACTCAGCCTGGATGCCTTAAGACATCTGATGCTTTCCTGGTATGTACTGGTTACTTGCCTACTTGCCAATTGGCTGTTGCTAGGGATGAACAAGATTAGCGCATTTACAGTTAAACTCAGCCTTGATGCCTTGTTGATAACTGGAACTTAGGCCTGACTATTGCAGAAGCATTCTGAAGCCTGGCATGGCATCAGTTTGGTCTTTTAATAGAATATATTCAGAACAGGATGACCGCCAAGCACAGAGCAATAGAATATTATAGAAAGTCTCACTATGGTATTCATTTTTATTATCTCAAGGCATATACATACAAGGACTTGTACTACTTCCAGGATGATTCTGTTTAAGTCCCAGATAAGCAAGTTGAGCACTTCATAGCAATTAAGGCTTTCACCTTCAGTTTTACAGAAAACTGCGTTCACAATTTATTGCTGTATTATTTGGGTGCAGCACATTCTTCCCATTGTTTGGCTCCACAGTGGGATCCCAAAGAAACTCCATGTAGCTACATTTTTGGTTGTGGAAGTCTTAAATGCTTCTTAGTTCATCATTCATCTCTTCACTGACTAATGAGCTTCTGTATCATCTTTATCTTTTATTTCCTCACATATGTCAGCGCCACCATTCTTTTGGCTTATTGCCAACTTCTAACCTGATTCCCAGGTTCTGGTTTCCTTCCTCTGCCCCCCTATATTAGTATTCTCCAGGTCACTTCCTGTAAATGAAAACATACTCCAGATTTCCAAGACCAAACATGCCTAAGACAGGAGGAATTGAGCCAGTTCTTGAACATCATTCTGGGATTCAGCATCACGTCACCCATACAGCTAAACTCGTCCTGACACAGGCAACAAGTTGGGTCCTTGGTCCTTAGCTTCTGGTCAGTATCAAGAAATATGGATGAATGGCTTGTCAGCATACAATTATACACCAGTTCTCTTGAAACAGAGTTTCCTGGAGGTAATTTATATCTTAAAATCTCCCATATGGTCTCTTTCATATTCATGGTTTTAAGAACTATTTAAATGCTGAACAACCCCACATATTTGTATCCTCTATTTTTAATTGAGATACAATTGAAATATAACAATGTATTAGTTTTAGATACACAGTATTATGATTTGATATGTGTATACATTTGAAATGATTATAATGACCAGCTAGGTTTTTTGCCCACTCAGAAAGCCAGATTATGAACCACAAGAAATATATTTACACAGAATACTGAATATTTGAGATGTCATTTAAAGGATGGGTGGGAGAGACACTCCCCAAAAGCAGGAGTGCTGGGATTACCTAAGGGGAGAAGGAATGTGAGGAGAGTGCAGGGATTTACGTTTCCAGGTCCCAGAAGGTGCTGGGTAGGCTAGGTGAAATGAGTCAGTGTGTTTGACTTTCCCAGAAGGGTGTATTCTTAACAAGCAGGAGATGTTTGTTTCTGAGACCACTATCAACCCCAGAGGGGCACAGAGAATTTTATTAGGGAGGTCACATAATCAGTTTTCCAAGTTCCCAGGAGTGCGTGTGAAAGCAATGAGTGGTTAATCATGAGGGTGATTAATCAAAAAGGGTGATCAGAGTTTAATTCCACCATGTACTCCTAATTTTTAGTTAAGGTAAGCTCCCCTTTCTCCCCGCCCCCGCCAAAGTCCAGGGGAATCCCATTAATTCACTCACAGCAGGCTTGGATTCTCATAGACATTTCAAAAGGTTGGCAGAACTAAGCAGTTCTTAAATTTTCACAAACCTGCTTCTCTCTTCTGTCAGTAAGTGCTGTCACCATCAGAGCTTATGTTCAAGGAAGACAGCTTGGAATGTCTTCCCTTGTTTTAAACTACTGTCTTCTCTATCACAGAATTGTCTTGTCTCTTAAGTATGCATAGTAGAACACTTATCTATTCTGTTTTTTCTCTGACTCTCATGTGTTGTCACTTTAGTCCACATCATAAGTCACTTATCCAAACCTAATTTCTATATCTCCCTTCAAACGCATTCTTTCAGGAGTTCTTTGAAAACCACCTAATGCAAAGCAGGTCTTCCTGTTGTTGTATCAAATAAGTCTGTTTTTCCTTTAGAACTTTTATTCAAATTACAATGCCTGTTCATGATTGTCCTCACTTACATATGTAGTTTTTACTGGGCTAATAAAGCCAGAACTGTCCGCATTTTCTCATGTTCCAACAGTGTGTGGCCCATGGAATATGATTAATAAATTATTTTCAAGTGAACGTACAAATTGAAGGGTGAACGAGCTTTTACTGTGATGTGGCTGTTGTGCTAGACACAGTGCTTGGCATTACTCCATCTGTTTTAGGGTCAGCGCTTACCCATGGGCTTTGGGCATGCATGGCAGACACAAAATGAGTACAGGGTGATATTTTCATATGTGAATAGGGAGTATATGAGCACTTATATTTGTTAGGGCAGGAAAATGAATCTTTCGCGGGAATTCTTAAAAAAGGGAAAATATGAAGAGCAGGTTTGAGTCCAACTTCCTCCCCTGCCCCAAGAAATGAGGTGTCTGACCTAGATGATTTGTTATGATTGCAGCATTATATTTTACATGCTGCTCCTCTGCCCCCAAAGTCTGTCCTTTAAGATTGAAAATCCCTAGATCTATTTCCTGGATGGTCGGGTACTTATGGATGCCTGGGTGGTGGAAGTAAGCCTCCTGTTTGTCAGGGCACAGGGAGGACAAGTGGTCCATGGTCTTCCATTCTGGTTGAGCCCATTGTGAAGCACCAGACACGTGGACCTTCACCTTCTCCTCACTGGCTGATCATGTCCTGCCCAAGCATATGCCCAAGATTATAAGGGTGACTGACTTATTTTGGAACAAAGAAAGAAAGCAGTAAAGTAAAATCATTGTTTATTAAATATCATGCAAATAGTAATACCAAGCAAGTAGTCTCTGTACAAGTCATTGGGATGCAACTGAGTGTGCCCCCTTTTCCTGTAGAAGATCACAAGTGCAAGCTCCCAGTGGCTTGGAATGCCCATTACACATGAAGGTGACTGGCACAAGCCCCAGTTCCCATTCTTCGGAATCAATTTCTCAGTCACTACAGATGTAAAAGAAGATGAACTGTTTCAATGCCCAAAGACTTAGGTGAAGAATTTTTCACTTCATTTAAAATGCCCATGTCTTCTTAGTTTCTCTCCTAACAGTTAAACCAGCTGTTACTCTCCAAAATATGTGTCACTTTCTTTGCATTTGGGTCAAATTGCATTTGTGAAGATCCACTGAAGAAATAGAAAAACCCTGCAAATAAAGACAAGGGAAAATAGTGAGATAGTTTTCTGTTTACATGCATTTGGCAGAATATTCAACTCAGTAACAGACAACTGAAGACAGGGCGTACAGAGTTCTAACTACATGCCAGGAACGATGTTAAGCATTTTATGTATTTTCTCCCATTTATTTTTGCAAAGATCCAACGAGGAAAATATATCTAATTCCATTTTATGGATAAACACATTGAGGTTCAGAGAGAGTTACATGTTTGTGTAAGGTCATTGGCAAGGAGACAGCACTCCTTTCCAGCTCTGTCCTATGGCTCAACCTGGCTCTGGCTCCTGGCTATTATTCTGCTTCTAATCAACTAAAATTCTCTGCTTCTTTGGAAACTTTTGATCTCTTTATTTTCTTCCACCTGACACTACTTACCCTCCTCCCCCTATCACAGCCTGAGTGGCATTTCTGACCTCAGAGAAACACATCAATTCTCTGGAACACCAGAGGACTCTTGTCTGGCTCTACCAGCCTGGTGCCCAGGTTACCTTGCCAAAAAGATTACCAGTGTTCACTCATCCTTGTGTAGGAAAAGAACTTTTTTTTATTTATTTCTGTTTGTGAAAACAATTTATTACAATTTATTTTTAAAGTATTTTGAGTTAAGTAGGCATTTGCAGTTTACCAATATGGACAATTTGATTAATTACTCAGTAAAGACAGAGAAAACTCTCTCTGGAATTTGAAGCAATGGTATGGCTTAGAAGAAATAGGGAGGAGAAAGTCAACCAATATTAAATGTGATCACATCTGTGAGGAGAGTTTTATACTGACACAGTAATCTGAAAGGCAATAGCTCTATACAAGGGAATAACACTGGGCATGCTGATTTTATTTGCATGCACAAAACAGGAAGAATAGTGCTATGGTTATATGAAATATTAATATAATTGACACTAAATTGGTAGTTTAATATTTGGGGGAAGAAGGTGAGAACTGGTTAAAGAAAACCTGTTAAGAGTTATTTCAATTCTCTGCCCTCTGATACCTAGTGCTCCATTGGCAATAAAGTAAATGTCCTCTTACCAAAAGCTTCAAAAACAGCATCAACTTTTGAACCGACCCCTGGAAAGTCTTCACTTATTAGCTTAGGGAAGCCTGGATCCATGGACCATCTCTTCTCATCAAAACTAGACCAAGTAAGAGACACACAGCTCAGCATTAGGAAGAGGGCACATTACCAAAATTTCTAAATTGTGATAGTTTAATGGGTTATTTTAGTGAACTTTCCACATAATACCCATAAATGTCAAGCATATTTGTACCCCCAAAACACAGGACTTTAATGGCTCTGCATTTAAACTTAACTCTTAAAATGTACCTCTAGCAGGAGCTGAGGCAACATTCTGCTATAGCAATTGTTTGTTACCATATTTCTTAAGCATGGACAGAGAGAACCTCAATCATTTTTGTCAAAAAGGCATGATGATGTGAACAGATACTTAAAGTAAATTGAATCATTCATCTCAAACACAAATTTCAAGTTCTTTGCCATACTTGGCTCATATATGCCCTCCCTATCTTGCACACCTGGATTTCCCATGCAGCCTCCTGAGGAAAGGATTTGGGGTTAGAAGCAAAGCAGAGTAAATGCATTTTTGACTGTGTTTTCATTGGTCTGCCCAGATGTTGCAGACTCTGGGAAGGTGGTCAAGAATCAGCCTCTGTGTGCACTCTGGGTTCTAACCATGAACTGCTATTCGCTCACCCTCCTCTTAAGCAGGCAGAGGATGAATGACTGAAGTTAAGGGACATGCTTACGAATCATAAAATTGAGAAGACCAGACAAGCATCCACAGATACCCTGAGTAGCCTTTTAAGACCTAGAAAGAAATGTTAAATTGTGTTCTCAGGGCATCTGCTTTTTTTTTTTTTTTCTTAAAGATTTATTTGTGCATACAGAACTGGGGTACAGGCCAGAGGCTCAGGGGTGGTGAGAGGCTTCACCAGAGACAGAGTGGGGAACAGAACAGGCAGATCCACGAAGTACACTGCTGAGGGGAGCAGCGGGCGGGTCAGGAGAGGTCTGCCGCGCCATGTGGTCACCTCCGGGGCAGGTGGGAATCGAACACATGCGGAAGTGGTTTTAGATTCTCAGTGCTGTGCTTTAACCCACTGTGCCACCAGGGAGGGCTGGCATCTGCTTTTAAAGCAAGTAAAGTCTAAACAGATTTAGAGTCCAGCAGAAACCATACATGAAAGATGTATGGGATTTGATGGGTGAAGAGAAGATACCCTACGCAGGTGGAGAGGGAAGGTCCAGCCGATAGCATGTGGAACTCAAAACGGAAAGCTTGGGCAACACTTGTGAGGAAGCACCTGTACTCCACAGCCAGCACCTCCTGTAGTTGTTTGTCTAAAGCCTTTCCTACTGAGAGAGAAGCAGGCTAAGGTGAGGGCAGGGAATTGCAGTGAAAGAAAAAATAACACCCAACAAGCCTCCATCCAATATTATCCTGTTGCATCCTACCTCCAGTATTTGTTCTCTGTGAAGAAGTAAGTTTTCTTCTTTTCTTTATCAGAAATAGCTGCATCTATTTTGCTTATGGTTAGAGGAAAACCCAGGGTGTGAATTCCTTTTGGATAACCTGCTTGTGCCTCATTTCCTCGAACGGCCCAGAACTGTTTTCCTATTAAAAAATAATTGAGAGTCCTAATGAGTATGTAACAGTTAAGTCTTTTCATTTTAGAAATACTTTTTAGCATCTCTGGCTTTCATAGTAAAAAAGGAAGCAGAATTTTAGATTTAGTCACCAGCTTAAAATGGGTACCTAAACAAATTATTTGTAGACTGATTATACAAACACAGATCAAATGAGGAAATTTATAATACTGAGGAATTTATATTTATGTATTTATTTATATCACTGTAACAGAAGTAAAATAATATGTCTTGATTATTGCTTCATTACTTTAGAGTAATAAAGTTGGTTTAGAGTAATAAAGTATTGCTTCATTACCTTAGAATAACAAAGTGAAATTAAAAACCTGTTCATTTTTCCAGTGAGAGGGTTTATTTTAACAACTTAAAGAAATTATAGTACTTACCTTTAATAATGAAAACAGTATCCCTGCTGGTAACTTCATATGCAGCATCGATGCCCGAAGGGAGGGACGGCCAAAATGAAGAGATGGAATGAAATTCAGTTTCAGGTACACTCAGTTGTTTGCGCCAAAAATGTCTGCAATACATGTACAAGGAAATATAAACTGAAACAGTCTTTCACCTTCAGCATCTTTTCCTCATGCCCTGCCTCTTTCCCCATTCCTCATCTTCTTGACACCAGGACAGATAGAAATAAGGTATATCCCACAGGAGATACTTTTTTCCTTCACCTGACTGCACCTCAGCTCCTCCCATATGATTCCAGAGTAATGTCTCTTGTGAAAGAAAGTTAGCCTAGGGTGCAAATTTACTATCCAAATTACCCTACAATGCAAATGAACTAGCTTAATACCTATAACTCATGCAAAACAGTATGCACGTTATAGTTACCTACATTTTAGTGTGTCTGAACTGTGTGGAATATTCTCATTTATGCATGAACTATTCCGGAAGTATATAAAAGAGTCCTTGATTATAGATAATATGAGGAAAACTCAGGAGCCAGGGTTCACTAAGGTATGGCAGACTCGGTCTGAACTTCTCATTTTTGCTGTTTGAATTCTCTGCTTTGCATGTTCATCCAGCAGTGAATTAATTATTGATTAACTACAAAGCTTATCCTGCTGTCATTTGTAAAGACGGAAAAGATAAATTTGATTCTGAAGCTCTTCTTGTGCCTTTTTGTAAAGCTACCATGACTGTAGCTTAAGACATTCGCAGACACTCAGGACAAGTTTCAAATCATTCCAAGTCATTGAAAATGAACTTGATCATTTTAGAAAATGGTGGGAAAGTGGAACACCAGTTCTAAAGGATTTCAAGTTCAAAGGAATCATTTTTGTTTTGTTTAAAAACATCAAGTTTCTGTTAATTTCCTTTTCTAGGCATTGTACATCAAAAGAATAGATAGGAAAATAAAACTTCCCAGTCTAACCTGTCTTTAAAGAATAGGATCTCTCCCCTCAAGGTGGTGACGGCATCGAAGGACAAGGCAGGGTCACACATGTCTAGAGTCCCGGGTCCTGGAGGCGCAGATTCTGTGGGCAACACAGGGGCACCAGGGGGAGGCCCTAAAGGGAACAGATGGCAGATGCAGTGATCCAACATTAGGAGCCATGTGATGCTCTGCTCAGTTTATGTGCTTTTCAAACATACTGTACATGCTTTGAATGGAATCCAGAATGCTCTGTGCAGCATTTAAAGCTTTCCTGAAAAGCATGATTGCAAAGCTACACCTGACTTTTCCCAGATCACTCACCATACAGAGACTGGATACCCTCCACGTCATCCTGAGAAAGGCGGAACCGAGTCAGGTCTGTGAAGGTGTTGTACAGTGGGTACATCAGAGCTTCTGTGTTGGCTGAGTGATGGAGACCCAAGGAATGGCCAAACTCATGAGCAGCAACGAGGAATAAATTGATGCCTATTTAAGAAATTATTGGTAATAGTAACTCACTTAAAAACAAATGCAATACATGTATCACACAGTTGTGTATACTCTTTATTTCCTAGAAGCATACAGGACTTATTTTGCCTCTCTTTTTGGTTAGTCAGTGAATTGACTGATTACACACTTAATGCAAAACCAAGTATTTTTCAAGGCTCATTCAAAGCTTGTCATTGAAATGAGTCTTTGAGCCAGTGTCTAGTCAAATCAAACTACGCCCCTCTTCAGCCCCAAAAGCCTATTAACTTATTTCATGAGAAAGGGGTTCTTTTCCCTGTATTCATGAACCAAGCTGTTGAAACATCAATAAATATTTCTCTTCAGTTGTCAGTGAAAAACACTATTTCAATGTTATTAACATTTTCCACTTAGTCTCAATGAATCAGTTTATTCCACTTAATTCTGAAATTCTCTGACAATGAGAAGCCTATTCCTCCCCCCCCCACCACCACCCTGAAGTTGTTGCCTACATAATTCTTCAGCCTCATGGTCAACAAGTACTTATTGGGTCCACAGGTATCAACAATGATAGATGTCAGGACTAGAAATATACGATGTCTAGCAGTTCTCACAAAAGACAACTGCTGTCCAAACATTAGCCATATACAGAATATTTTTTCATATTAAAAAACAAACAAAAAACCCCAGAATGCCAAAACTGGAAGGCATTGGGTAATTTGATTGACATAGACACTAAAAGTTACTTTTATTAAGTCTTGTTTGTGTAGCTGGTGATTCTGGTAGAATTCTCATTTGAGACTTTGTAGGAGGTTCCTTTGCAGGAAAAAGTTGTTAATTCAGTTAAACCAAGAAGTTTACCTAGCACAATCTTCACATTTGTACTCTCTGCAGAATTTTTTTTTTTAGTTTTTATTATAAATTCTAATTAAAGTTCAGAGGCAGTGTTACTTGTTTCAGTTTTTTTAAACTGTGGAAGCCATTTCTCAAAGTATCCATTTATGAGTTTAGAAACATTCTTTTATCTAAAGTGTTTGTACATTGTTTTGGGGGTTTAGTCCTTTCCTTCAGAGTAAGTTCATAAACACACTTAACCTAGAGAGAGTCAATATAGGTTGGTTTAGCCAGAAAAATCTAAATAGGAGTCACAGTTACTGGGTTTTAATTCTTATTTCTGTTTTGAAAAATAAAAAAAAATAATTGGGGGCAATTTCCCCCAGTTGGATATAAGCAATCTTCAGGACACACAGTAGTGTATGTTTATTTTAATATGCTAATCCCTGGATATCTACAAAGAAATTTCTCTTAATGGTGAGCCTAAGAGCACACTGGAACCATTGTCATCAGAGAAATACTCAGTGATGGCTCGAGTTGCAGATGAGATAATAAACGTTTTAGACTCCTGAAAAATTTTCAATGATGATAAAAACAGATGTAAACTCTACTGATCTTTGATCCACTGGGAAATCCAGAACACCCATTTCCTACATAATAGTTATTAAGACTTTTATAAATATAAGCAAAATCAATCCAAGTCATCCTGAGTGTATAACTGACCTGCTGTATCCTCTGTCCATTGTTCATCATCATCAAAGTGAGCATCTCCGTGAATTCCAGGTCCGGGTGCAAAGGCATGAGCTAAAATTTCTCCAGGCCCATCAAAAGGGTTCATGTCTCCATGTTCTGATAGAGAAAATACTTTTATTGTAGTGATAGGTGTCAGGGGCCCTTTAAACTCTTTTTAAGTAAAACAACACCCAATAACTGGAAGCATTTTATGGTTTTTACCTCTAACTGAAAAAGTGATCATGATATCAGCCTCTCCTTCCTTAATCCTGGTGAATGTAAGTGGTGTCACCTCCTCCCAGACTCTCAGAGCTTTCTCTATGGCAGAATCAACAGCATCTCTTGACAAATCCAGCGTATAATTCACAATTCTGCATGGGGAAAATTGAAGACGATACAGTTTTCCTCCTGGGATAGTAGTTTATAAAATCTCATGTATGTGAAAACCTCTTTGGACCCAGTACCTGTAAGTGAGGTGTGTTTTCCTCCACTTGGGGGAGCCAGGAAAGGTTCTGAAGTGACCAACATCGGGGATTCCACATCTGGGCTTGTGCATCATCTCCAGGGTGTCAGAGTCCAGCTGCCCGGTAACCTTCAACCCCAGGAACCTCTGCATTTCTTGGATTTTTTTCACAACTAGACTATTGTCCTTTCTTCTAAAAAACTTTTCTGCATCTTTTGCAAGGTTGTAGTAGTTTTCTAGATATCTCTAACGGAATAATAATAATTATAGATTTTAGATCATTGTTACTATTTTTATCGACTTATAGTAAATTTGTGTAGTTGCCCACTCAGTATTTTTGAAGTGTTTCTCTAGTTTGCTGAAATCAAAATAGATGGTATATTTTGTTTAATTCTTCAGTTATAGTTGCCTCCGCACTGTAGTGTACCTTTGTAACTAAATAATGTCTGCAGTTTACTACTAAAATAATGAAAATGAAGTGGAAAATTGAGGTAGATAGCCAGTGACTTGTAAGGAGAAAAGCAAAACAGACAAGCATCTATAGGTATAACTGTGTATTTCTAGTAATTTGACTCAATTTTATCACATGTCTATGACTAAAGAAAAAAACATCTAGATAGATTTTTGTACTTAAATGTGACCTTCGCCATATAAATATCTAGCAAAAATTATATTGAACTAAGGTACCCCCAAAACTTGGAGTACTTCGTTCCATCCAAACTGGGCTTGGTCTGTCCACTCTACGCTTCTATCTGTGTGCCTCCACTGTGCCATCGTGTGATTTTCCTGCATGAAAGAAGTGTCTGCACAGTGTGATACTGAGACTCTACATATCCCATTCTTGAACTACCCCTGCAAACCATTCAGAGTGATTTATAATGGAGAGCAGAGTTGGTTTCCCACTTGGCTCATCAAGGAATGTGAGAGACACCTCCTTGGTTACCTGAACAAAGTCCATGCTGTTCTGGTTCTCCGCACCTCCAGCCAGTGGGTAGGCAAAGCACGTCGCTGTACACAGCACCAGCAGAATCAGAAAAGTCTTCATTTCCACTGATACTAGTTGGTTCTATGTTGCTTTGATGCTTGCTCTTTGCCTGTCTCCTTCTAGATTTACTCCTTGAAACTCAGCTTTTATAGGGTGACAATGTTGGTTTGGTTCATCCCAGCTTGACTCATGATTGCCTTCATCTGAATATCAGGAACATTTCCAAAAATTCCAGCTCCAACGTACGATGATATAATGTACTTTACTAATTTCTCTCAACCATCCCAATTTTGTAAGTCAGAACAGTGATTAAGCTCCAGGAAATGCTTCCTGCCCTGCTAAGGAGAAAACTGGAGCTCTTCTCTTTTTTCCTCTGGAAAAAATTAAGTAACTGGAATTTACTGGTCAATTTATGTTTGTGTGTTTAATAGAAGTGGGCTTACTTGGTAAAAAATCAGAATCATGCAGAACTGTTTCATGCAGTTTTATTTTAAGAACTTATCTTAAAATCCATGTGATAATATGTAAGTGAAAATCTGTACCTGTGAAACTACAGTGTTTAGTAATAGGTTCTATAAAAAGCAGATAAAATAATAACTAGAATAAAATTGGAAGGAAGGGCTCAGTTTTGGGGCCCTGATTTAAAAAAAAAAACCTATTAATTGCTTTCTGGTTAGATTTGTTAGGCTTTAAGAAGGAAAGCTGGCAGGCAGTTTCAAATAAAAATTGTCTATGAGAAAAAAAAGTGTAGCCATTTTTTTTTATGTCCATCACAAGCTGTGCCATAAAGACTAATAGAATGGAACTGAATTACCTTGCTCACTGGACTGAAATTCTACTGTCTTTTATCTTCTATACTTTCCTTAGGTTTTCTCGATCTCTTCCTCTTCCCAAAATTTAAACTTTTAAGTATGAATGGGGGAAAATAATCCCTCCTAAATACCCCATCTACCTAGCTTTTTCCTGTTCTCCCTTCTTTTCCTTTCTCTTCCTTCCCCTTAATTTTTTGGGTAGAGTACTGAACACATCAGTTGTGTAAGTGCTTGTGGGAAAGACCCTAAACATAACCAGAGGAAGAAACTTTGTTAAACTTTTCAGTCCTCTCCTCACCTTCTCATCTTCCCCACCTCCCTGGCCCTTACAAAAATAAAGCTAAAAAAAATTAAAGACATATAAAAGTGAAAGGCACACAAATAAGAGGCAGCAAAACTTAAACTGACTGAAAGTTCACTTAGTGAACAGCATTTTTATTCATCACTGTGGTTTGTTGATTTGCTTATTTGTTTTCTATAGAGTAAAACATCTTGGGACAATTCAGTAAAATGGTGAATAAAAATTCTGTGTACCAAGTGAGCATTTAGTAGAGGTAAGTTTTGCTCCTTCCCACTTATAGCCATCTTGCATTTCCTTGTTTTTTATTTGTTTATTGTTTGTTTCTCAATAAAATTGGCAAGTTCAACCCAATGCCTATAAAAGATGTTGCAAGATTCCCATTGGTACTAGGTCACTGTACCTGAGGGATGTCTGGTCCTTAGGACCACTTGGTGTGGGGAACTTTGAAATCCACATTAATCTTGACTCTGCCAAGAGACATTTCAAAACTCATGATCTATATTCCTTTGGGGAAACACATCTGTGTCTTGATTGGAATGGGGGCAATCTTTGTCCATACTAATGGCAGGATAGCTCAGGGGATGGAGTGGAAGCACAATCTGTGGCAGATAATGATTCTAGCAAGGAATGAGAGTCAGGCAGAAAAGTCTAAATCAGATGCAGAGAAGTTGTGGAGGCCGTACGCATTAATTTCTTATGGGTAAAGGCTTTTACTTTGTGAGTGTTCTCTGGTGTCATAATGCATAAGAGATATTTAGAGGAAAGTCTGAAAGGCATCATGTTTATTTTCCCAAATGTTCAAATGAGATTGGAAACATGAATTTCATTGCCCCTCAAATAAACACAGAAGTCAGCCTCTAAGAACACCATCATCTCTTGAAACAAAAATGCAGCACCTTTTCTGGGCCCAGAAGATTTTTTTGTTCAAAAAAGAGTTCATTACTTTTTTTTTTTCAAAGATTTATTTATTTGTGCATACAGAATGGGGGTACAGGCCAGAGGCTCAGGGGCAGTGAGAGGCTTTACAATAGACAGAGCGGGGAGCAGAACAGGCAGATCAATGAAGTACACTGCTGAGGGGAGCAGGGTCAGGAGAGGTCTGCCACGCCATGTGGTCACCTCCCGGGCAGGCAGGGATCGAACTTGTGCGGAAGTGGATTTAGCTTCTCAGTGCTGTGCTTTAACCTGCTGCGCCACCAGGGAGGGCCCATTAGTTATTTTTTATGGTATCTTGTTGCCGATTTTCCCCTGAAATATAATGTGAATTGCTTACCTGTCTCCCTCATAATACTATAAGTCCCTAGAGAATAGTGTCTGTGTTTCATTTATTTCTGTACGTCTTATATTAACATATGTCTTGCATATAGCAGTACCCCCAAAATTGCTTAAGGAATTTGTTAATATGTAGATTTTTTTAAAGTCAGACATGAGAGATAAAAAATGCACAAGTCATGCAGATGCTTTTCATTCTCAAATCTTCCACCTTGTATTTACCAAATGCATCAAAAATCAATTTTTCAGAGTTTTATGTGTAATTGTAAAAGCTATCAGCTTTACTCTTTTTAGTAAGAGAAAAAATATGGAAGACTTATATACTCAAAATCCTCATTCTTGTGTTTGTCAAGTATCCAAACTAAAATTGTAGAAACAAGGAGTTTTCTGGAAATGAATGAGGTAGGGAATTTATATATTGTAGACTAAAGCTTGGAAAGCAGTGCTGTTAATGATATGGAATATGTAAAAAAGTAGATGAATGAAAGAAGTAATGAAAGTAGGAAGGGAAAGAAGAATAAGAATAAGGAGGGAAGAAAAAAGGGAGGGAAAAGACGTCAAGAAGAAGTGAGAATAAATACATCAAATGTAGAGGAGAGTTATAAACACTAGGGAAAAACTGAACTCTTAGTATAGAAGTGAAAGTGTTTCAAAAAATAATTTGTTAATGGCTAATATAGAAACTATAGTATAAATTATATGAAAATAGTTTTTTATTATTAAATATTAAAAAAATGCCTGATTTTGTCACTCTTATCTCTAAGATTAGAGGCTTGGAAATAAACTTATATTCAACAGTTCAAAACTTAGACTGATAATGATGGTCCATACTACCTCTAGTGTCTGGGTCTTAGATGCAAATAAAGGTATAGATTTGGAGATAATAGTTAAAAGAGAAATCTGGAGAGTTACTTGAAAGTAGGAACGAAGAAAGGATGAAAGGAAGGTTGGTTGTAATGTAGCAGAAGGAATGAACCCAATATAATTAATTATATTAGGAGTCAAGAAAGAAGTTGTGAAGGAATTCTGTAGAGAGAATTGGAAAATCCCCCAGGTAAAGCTACAGGTACGTGTGCATGGAAGAAAATCCAGGAACAGAATAAATAGTTATGCAGAATCAAGAGTGTTTAGAGTCTGTGTGGAAAATGGTAAAAAGCAAGTTTTTATTGAAGTGAAAAGTGGGTGAAGGGAGATTGAAAAATGAAAAAGTTGTAGGAAGACGATTGGAGGTTACTCCAATCAGTCAGCAGCTAAGATACTTACTTTTTTTTTCTGTGGATGATGGAATGCCATGTTCCTATAAATTTTTACATTTTTATTATAGAAAATTTAGAATATAGAAAAAAACTGAAGAAAATAAATCATTGATAGTCTCACCACTAGGAAAAAAAATATTAGTACTTCATTGTAATTCCATGTAGTTTTTTTCTTTCTTTCTTTTTTTTTAAGATTTATTTATGTTTGCATACAAGAACTGGTGTACAAGCCAGAAATGTGGGATGTGACAGGACTTACCAGAGACAGAGTGAGAAGCAGAAAAGGCAGATTGATAAAGTACACTGCAGAGGGGAACAGTGGGCATGACAAGAGAAGTCTGCTGTGGTTCATCTCCCTGGCCAAGGATTGAACTAGCTTCACAGTGCTGCGCTCTAACCTGTTGCGCCATCAGGGAGGGCCCACATCTAGTTTTTTAATACCTGGATGTTCTTTTATATATCATACTGACCAAGGGAAACTAATAAAATGTCATCTGTTTTTTCCAAAATTCTAAATATCACCAGCCAGAGAAGTATGAATTAGGGGATATATTCCCTTTAAATTGTGGGATAAAACATGTTGCTTAACAGACTTTTTCCCCTCAATTTTTTCATAGCGGACAACAGGTCATCTATGTTAATTTTTATACCTATTTGCCACATAAACTTTCCAACTTCTTAGTTGAAAGGGCAACAGGAAGAGAAAAGGAATAGGGACAGATAAGGTCTGCACGTGGCTGGCTCCATCTTTCCTCACTTATACAAGCATGATGACTCAGATCACTCAGCACAAGTGGTAAAAATGTTGAAACCCATCATTCAAATTCCTTGGCCCTGACAGTGTCCTTTATTGGACTCCAGGCAATTCTGATTTTATGGAAAGGAGGAAAACATTTTGTAATATTCTTGGCAAGTATTCCAACTGTGCAAACCCAGTAACATCAATTAAGATTCTTAATGATACTTCAGCAGGCTATATTTTTGTTTCTTTGGATTGAAAGGTAAAACACATTGCTTCAGAAATAATTTTTCTCAAATGAAGATTACATTAGAAGTGACACAGGACATCAGGGGCACTAACTAAAACTGACCAAGGACACTGCCCAGATAGTTTATTGGTCACTCTCTGAATTCTTCACCCATGCACACAACTGCAAGACTACTCAGGTTCAGAGAGCAACAAAAATGGGATTTATTTGACAAACCAGGGAAAAACAAAGAGTGAATGAAACTAAAATGGTCATTTACCCCACTCCAAGCAAGTATCCTAAACAAAAAGTATCGAAGATACTTTAAGTCCTAAACAAAAAGTATCAAAGATGGCATCTTCCCACCTGAGGCCTGGAGCACATAGCATGCAGGCTATAGGCCTGGTTCCAGCTTACAAAGACAACAGAAGATAACAACAGGAGATGCTCC